GGGGGGGGGGGGGGGGGGACAGTACTCAGAAGGGCTGCTGCACTTGGGCCAGGCAGATACTCCAGAGCCTTTCTCCTGTTGTGAGGGTGCACAGGATCTGTCAGGAACAGGTCAGCGTGTTGGGCTTTTAGGCTGCACAACTTTTCCCAGCCCAAGATGATAACCAGCTAAGAGACAGGAGAGAGGCAGCAGGAAACAAGAAATGTTATTTTTATGTTAGATACGGCTGACTCTGGAGAACGTGGTGAATAATCATTGAACCTACCACACTCAGATTGTGCTGGTGCACCACAGTTCTCCCCGCTCAAAGCTTCCTTTTTTAAAAACTTAAAGCATGTAGGAGCAAAGGAGAATGTGGCTCCTTAAAGCAGGTAGCTCCCAAGAGCAAAGGGGAAGGGGCTCCGTCCTGCTTCCTTTCCCAGACTCACCAACCAGATATGTCATTTCACCAGCCGTGATGGTAGTTGGGGTGGGGGGTCTGTCGTGGGAGCCCTGGAATGTTGTTAGTTAGTTGAGCTCCCTTGCGAAGGAGGAAATCTAAGATATACAGAGCTGTACCTCCTCAACAGTATGAAGAGTGTGCAGGTGTGCAGAGCACTCTCCCTGGGATGCATGAAATGAGACTTCCCAGATGTTCTTGAAAATGAGGGTTAGCTGTGCAGGACCCCTGTGGTGGGCAGCATGGGGTGTTGTAAAGGGAACTCTGGCCTCAGACAGCAGTTAGGGTGGGAAGTTTGGATGTTAGTTGTAATGCAGGGGAAGTCATGCCATGGTTAAAGCAGTTTTGGCCGAGGGCAGGGAGAGGAACCTGAGGGAGCGGTGATGCTGTGCACATGGAGATGGTGGGTTCTTTTTGGGGGTTTGGGGGGTACTGTGCCTCACACTGTGTCCAGTGAGCATTTTTATATATATATATATATACACATATATATATATATACATATATATATATATATATGTATATATATATATATGTATATATATATATATTTTTTTAAAGATGACCGGTAAGGGGATCTCAACCCTTGGCTTGGTGTTGTCAGCACCATGCTCAGCCAGTGAGCAAACCGGCCATCCCTATATGGGATCCAAACCCGCGTCCTTGGTGTTATCAGCACCGCACTCTACCGAGTGAGCCACGGGCCGGCCCTTTACTTATATTTTTTATTGAAATTGTACATATCGGGCCGGCCCGGTGGTGCACTGCGCTAGTGCGCTGCTTGGGAAGCGCGGCGGCGCTCCCGTCCGAGGGTTCGGATCCCACATACGGACCGGTTCCCGCTCACTGGCTGAGCGAAGCGTGGGAGCAACACCGAGGGTTGCAATCCCATTGCCGGTCCCCGGTCCGGTACGGGGGCAACACTGAGGGTTGTGATCCGTTGCCGGACACGGAAAAAAGACAAAAGACAGAAAAAAAAAAAAAAAAGAAATTGTACATATCTGTAGGGTACAGAGTTGTATATCAATACCTGTGTGCAATATGTGATGTTCAAATAGGATAATTAATATATTCAGCATTATACATTGTTTTCATTTTTTTGTGGCCCTTTACCAATTTTTCCTTCACACCCCTCTCCCTCCCCCTTTCCCACCTCTGGTAACTTCAGTTCTGTTTCTCCTTTTGAAAGTTCAGTGTATCATTGTGATTATTGTATCTTTCTTTTGTTTGTTTGTTTGTTTAGTTCCCACTTATGAGTGAGGACATGCAGTATTTCTCTTTCTGTATCTGGCTTATTTCACTTAACACAATTTTCTTTAAGTTCATCCATGTTGCTGTGAATGGCAGTATTTCATTCTTTTTTAAGGCAGAGTAGTATTTTACTGTGTATATATACCATATTTTCTTTATCCATTTGTTCATCGATGGACTTTTAGGTTGGTTCCAACTCTTGATTATATTGTAAATAGAGCTGCAATAAACATGGGCGTGCAGGTGTCCCTTCGACATGATGATTGCCATTCCTTTGGGTATATATCCAGAAGTGGAATTGCTGGGTCATATGGCAGTTCTGTGGGTCATATGGCAGTTCTATCTATTAATTGTTTGAGGAATCTCCATACCATTTTCCATAATGGCTGCACCAATTTACAGCCCCACTAACAGTGCAGGAGGTTCTGCTTGTGGATTCTTTTCTGAGCTGAGGTCTTTTGTCACCTGTTCCACTTCTTTTATTTTCAAAAATTATACCCTTGTACCCAAACTTAAAAATGCTTGTGGATTCTTTTCTGAGCTGAGGTCTTTTGTCACCTGTTCCACTTCTTTTATTTTCAGAAATTATACCCTTGTACCCAAACTTAAAAAAAAAAAGATGACCGGTAAGGGGATCTTAACCCTTGCGTTGGTGTTGTCAGCACCACGCTCTCCCAAGTGAGCTAACCGGCCATCCCTATATAGGGATCCGAACCCGTGGCCTTGGTGTTATCAGCACTACACTCTCCCAAGTGAGCCATGGGCCAGCCATCCAAACTTTTTCTGAAACTCTGCCATGTTATTTCAAACTGGCAGTCATGAATTTGAGACAGATGGAGGAGGCCTCCTGAAGCCCCAGACCCTGCTGCACGCTTAATTGGAGGCATCTGGGGCCTTGTGTGGGGGCCTAGGAGTGTGTTGTGAACCAAGCTCTGTTTTCCCAGGTGGTGTATGAAAGGTGTGAAAAGCTTCGGCCCACCCTGTTCCGGCTGGCGAGTGACACCACTGATGACGACGATGCACTTGGTAACAGTTTTATTTCCATAGGCATAGCTAGCACCCCGAGTACAAAACAAATGTGGCCCTTCGTGCATGCTATTGGGGTACCAGGAACAAGAGAGAATGGACTTTAGGTTCTCAGATAATTGGGTTTGGGAAGGGCATGGCCTGAGTTAGAACTGATTTCCAGAGGAATCTAGGCTTGAGCAAGGAATCAGCAGCAGGTCTGACAGCCTGTCAAGGGGTGGAAATTTACCATGGAGATTAGGTGTAAGAGGGGAAGAAGAAGAAAAATCCCACAGAAAGCTTAAGGAAAGGCTGAATGATCCTACGGAGGTCAGAGAAGCACCTGGGGGTGGTGCATCTCAAAGGGTTCACCAATTTGTATGCCTTCAGGGGCCAGGGAGGTAACCTAAATGAGCCAGGTTAATGGGGAATGGAAAGGATAGTGGTTGGGACAGTGGAGAATTATCCACAGATACTAAAAAAAAAATTTAACTTTTTGCTATGGAAAATCTCAACATATAAAAAAGGAGAGTATTAGCATAAATCCTGTGTATTCTTCACTCATCTTTAACAATTACCAGCTCGTGGCCAGTCTTTGATCTTGCTTCATTTGTGCCTTTGTCTTCACATCTACCCATACCCTACCTAGTCTGTTTTGAAGCAAATTTCAGACATTTTGAAATAATTAAATATTCAGTCAGTGTTCAGATTTCCCAGATCATTCTCTTCTTAATCATCCCCCCCACCCCCCCAGTTTGTCCTAAATCAGACTCAAAGGAAAAGCCATACTTTGTAATTGGTTTGGTTGATACTTCTTTGGTCTTTTTTAACGGATAGCATGTGCCTTCCCCCATCTCTTTTTTTCTTGCATGAAATATGGGTCTTTAACTTGTAGATTTTTGTTGGTCTCAGTTTTGCTACTTGCATCAGCCATGATGTTGTTTAATGTTTCTCTGTTCCTGGTATTTCTTTTTTTTTTTTTTTTTCCTTTTTGTCTTTTTTACTGACCGGTAACGGGATCGCAACCCTCGGTGTCGCGCCCGCACTGCGCTCAGCCAGTGAGCGGGAACCGGTCTCCACATGGGATCTGAACCCTCGGCGGGAGTGCTGCCGCGCTCTCAAGCGGCACACTCTCCAGTGCGCCACCGGGCCGGCCCCCTGGTATTTCTTTTTATTGCCAATTGGATTGGGGCTTGATCAGATTCAGGTTCAGTTGGGGGAGGGTCAAGAATACGTCATAGATGGTGTTCGTCAGGCCCATTGTATCTGGTTGTGTTTCGTGTTGTAATTATTATGTAACCCAATACGTTCTCAGTGGTTGTGATGATATCAAAGGTAGTCAAACAGCTTTCACATGCCAGGTGAAACGCTGCAGATTTCAACCCGTGTTGCCAGTTTGTAACCTTTATCCACAGTCAAAAAATTGGCAGGAAATAAGCAGTTGGTCACTCCTGAGAAGTAATCTTACAGTACTGCTGCTTGCAGTGTTATATACATCACTCTTGGCCCTGTTGCTGTTCTTTCTCTCCCAGGAGAGACTTGTCTATAGCTAAACCATGGGGTACTCATGCAGTTTTTGAAATCCAGTGCGTATTTTGTAATTAAAGCACGTTTCAATTTGTCTTTTCTTTTTTGTTTTTGGCAGCTGGCCAGTACAAGGATTGAACCCTGGATCTTGGTGTTATGAGCACCACGGTCTAACCAACTGAGTTAACGAGCCAGCCCACATTTCAGTTTGGATGCCAAATTTTTATCAGAAATACTTGATCTATATTTAGATCTATATAAAATTCATAGGTTAAAAAGTAGATTTATGCACCAGTTTGTTCTCTGCATACTTAAAGGCTTTTTAGTAACTGACTTTTTTTTTTTGGGCAGCTGGCTGGTACAGGGATTTGAACTTGTGACTTTACCAGCACCATACTCTCCCAAGTGAGCTAACCAGCCAGCCTCTGATTTCTTTTAATTTTCACATCCACATTGACAAAGCACTTCAGGTTTTAATTTTAAGTTAAAGTTAAAACTTTTAGTTTCTCATTGAAAAAGACTTATTTTGAGTGCTTACTAGCTGGCTATCATGTTGGATAGTGCAGACATAGATGGTAAAAATATTTGATTTCTCCTACATTGATAATTAAGAATATTAGGGCTCACATTGAGTGACAAGGTCTGATAGGGGCCTTTTCACATGATCTGGGGGCAGGAGGCATGGATATACTAAATCTAGTAGAGCCAGGTGAAGGCTGCTTTGTAGAATGGCATAGAAAGGACTGAGATTGTTGGTAGCTAAAACCTGGGGCTTCTGATTCTTCCTTCATTCTTCAGCGGAGATTCTCCAGGCAAATGACCTCCTCACCCAGGGAGTTCTGCTGTATAAACAGGTGATGGAAGGCCGTGTCACCTTTGGGAACACAGTGACCTGCTCAGTGGGAGACATACCTGTTTCCAGAGGTATGTGCAAAGATTCCTTCCTGCCTTCTGTGTTGGGGCAGCCTGCAAATCCCAGAAAAGAAATGGATCCTCAGAATATTCTGGGTTATGATGCAGAAATAAGATAACTTGCCCTCTGTTCTTTTCCCTGTGAATACGGGTTTCATGTAGCTAGCCTCTGTCACAGTAGTCATCATGAACTTACCACCAGGCTGGATGCCGACTTTGGCTACACGGAAGCAAATGGCTCTGTTGTGCTTGCGTTTGAATTCTTCTCACTAGTGCTTGCTCATGGGAGCTAGAGACCAAAAAAATGGTTTTCTTCAGTGGTTTTGAGTGCTGGACTAGGTGGAACACTGCTTAAAATAGAGATTCTTAGGTCTCTGTCTTGGACCTTCTGAATCAAGACTCCTTAGAGCTGGGCCTGGGCATCTGTGTGTTTATCAGTCACTCTAGGTGATTCTGATCATCTATGGTCAGAAACCTCAAAAGTCGCTGAATTAGAGAAGAAGTCTGAGTCAGCTCCTGTCTAGGGTGATGGGAACCTTTGGAGGAGGACTCTGTGATCTGTGGGGTAGGGAGGCAGTTCTCTGGTGACTTCAGAGTCCAGATGCCATCTCAAGCTGTGTCTCAAAACACTCAGCTGAGGTGGAAGGTTCTGGGGGTGTGTTGAGGGTGGGGGAGTTATGATGTCTTGATTAGGAGATTGCCTGAGGGAAGCTGGTAGGATTTAAGTGCAAACTTTGCTGTCATGTCTGACTTATTTTCCTAACCCCTTCTGGGTTTTAGTCGTTCAGAATCCAGCAGACTGCATGAAGAACTGCCTTTTGATTGACTTGGATGTGGAAAGTGGATCTGAGCAGGCACCATCTTTGCTTCATCAGGACCTGGAAGCCTTAGGTGAGGGTGTGTGTTTAGGAGGAACAGGCACAGAATGGTTCTGAGTTGGGGTAGAGAGTAAGCTTGTTCCTTTCAGGGAGTATATGCCTGCATTTGAGAGACTCAGGTGTATTGGGTGGTTCACAGAGGTCCCCTTTGTTAGTCTCAGAGTTGCCATGGGTGAGTTGAGTGACTCTGGGTAAGTCACTTGTTTGTCTAGGCTTTCTAAATGTCCTAGAGAGGGTGGTGTGGTATTGATCTGCATCTTGCATCAGGTAGAGCTACTGTCGTGTGCCTCACCCTGCTCCTGTCTTACAGGAATCAGTGATGCTCCTGGTGTGAACAAGGTAAGGAAGCTATTCCTAGCATTCGGGGAGGGGAAGCTCTCTCAAGCTTGCCTTCATGAGGCAGGGCTCACTGGTGGGGAGAGAGGTGCTACTGCACTATCCTGGTGCGATTCATGGACTTAGAGGTCCCACACTGTCTGGCTTGAACCCCTCTCCTCACACCCCTCCCTCTTAAGTTGTACCAGGCTCCTGCTTCCTGATGCTCTGCTCAGGAATCTCATGTTCTCTTGCCCTTTTTTCTCCCCCTGCCCCAGGAACTGTAATAAGCTTGGGCTGCAACAGCTTTTGTGTGGTCAGCAGAGCTGTGCCACAGCATTATCATGGCTGGTGATGATTCATAATAGCCTGGCCTTATTTTAGCCATTCCTGCTTTGACAGGTTGACAGTCAGAATTGCTATAAGGAGAAGAGGAATCCTACCGCCAGCACACTGCCAGGTGGTGGTGGTCAGAGCCCTTCGGCAGACAGGAACTTGCTGGATCTCCTCTCCCCACAGCCATCTCCGGGCCCTCTGTGAGTCTTCTGGGCAACGGAAGGAGAAGAGTCTAGCTCCTGCATACAGTTCCTTCTCATGGCAAGATGGGCCAGGGAATGCTGCTCTGTGACAGCCAGAGACCCCTCACCCTGGAAAGCATCCTCCTCCTGTTGAAAGTTCAATATGCTTCTTCCCCCTTTATCCCGCATTCTAAGTCATAGGAAAATACATGCTTTGGCCATCTAAAAAGGGGTTTATTTAAGGACTAGTAGTAGTAGTAGTAGGTGATGATGATGTTTTTGGTGGTTTTTTTTTTCCCCGATTGCCGTTTAATTTGAAGTTAAGCAAAATGTGATGATTAGAGAAATATACGGCAGAAAGTCCTAAATACCACTCACTAAAAATAGTAAGTGTTCTTGTGTTGCTTTTTTCTATACATGTAGTAATGTATCATTGTGGCTTACTTTTACGCAAATGGAATCATAATTTACCTACTGTACTCCAACATGATTTTTTTCATATCCCATTATATCTTTGACATATTTCCATATCAGTTTATATACATTTTCCCTATTTCTTTTTTTTTTTTTTGTGGCCAGCTGGTAAGGGGATCCGAACCCATGACCTTGGTGTTACAAGGCTGTACTCTAACCAACTGAGCTAGCCAACCAGCCCCTTATTTCTAACAGCTGTGTTATAATTCATTGTGTGATATATTTAATCATTTTCTTCTTGTGGATATTTACATAGTTTGCAGTTTGGAGGCACTTTGGAGTGTTTTTATGGTACAGATTCCTGAAGGTAGAGATGCTCTAAAGTATGAATGTAAAAACATGTTCACAGATCCCGTCCATTTGCCTCTGGAAGAGTTGGAGCAGTTTGCCATCCCTGAGACAGCCTGAGAGTGCTCGTGTCCCTGCCAGAGCCCACGGGGCTCTGGTGGAAATGGAAGTGTGCTGGAAGTTCATTCCTATTTGCCACCAGAGTTGGTTTCTTGGAGTTTTATTGTTTTTCTTTTTTCTTTCTTTTTTTTTTTTTTTGTCAGTTTGTGTTTCAAATGGACAAAATCATGAAGTGTAAAGTGGCCAGTGTAATTTGTGTATCATCTGCCTGGCTCATGTTACTCTAGTAATCACATTTGGGAAACTTAACCTGACTGAGTTACTTGGTGTCAGGCTTGTCGGAGACTTCCTGACAACTACATCATGAATAATCTTAATAGTAATGGCTCTAGTCTATTAGGTTCTTATTATTTGCAGATACTCTGAGTGCTTTCCACACCTTGTCTCATTTGATTCTTACAATAGCCCTGTGAGGTAGATACTTCTATGACTCCCATTTAACACATGAGGAAACTGAGGCAAAGGTTAGATTACTTGTCTTAAGTCAGATATACCTTTATATATGTGCATATCTAGTCATGCGCTGCATAATGACCTTTTGGTCAACAACAGACTGCATATGTGATGGTGGTCTCATAAGACTACATCATCATATTTCTTTCTTTCTTTTTTTTTTTTTTAAAAAAGATGACCGGTAAGGGGATCTTAACCCTTG